AAATAAACTCTTCTTATACAGTAGCAACTAAATATTATAGTGCTAAATATAGTTTTAAATATGCTTTTAGCACTATCTAATATACTTTTAGTCAGATTGAGATACAATAAAACAGCTTAAAGGCAAAAACTACACATAAAGGACATCTAAATGTGAACCGAAAATGATAAACCTATGGGTTTGTTGGTAGTCATTAGTGTTCTGCATTTTTTCCCCCACACAATAATCAGCGATGTTATAACCCGAGTGGGCAGGCAAGGCTGAAGCTGTCAAACATAGTAACACTCGCTTAATTTTCATTTCTTGTAGGAAACACTCATGCTTGCATTAGCAAACCCAGGTGTGTTTGATTAGGGTAGAGCTAAACTCTGCAGGAAAGTAGATCTCGCGAGCAAGATTTGAGGATCACTGCTATAAAACAAACTTTTAATATGAAAAAAAAAACATACTTTCAATGAACTTTAATTTTGTAAATTTCCTGTATTTGTTTAAGTTATTATTACTTAATCAAAACAACCCAACTGCAGTTTGATTGATATTACTTGGAATGCGCAATAAAAAAATTTGATTTCTGAAAAATGAGTTATCGGTTTTTGTAAATAAACTCTTCATATACAGTAGCAACTAAATATTATAGTGCTAAATATAGTTTTAAATATGCTTTTAGCACTATCTAATATACTTTTAGTCAGATTGAGATACAATAAAACTGCTTAAAGGCAAAAACTACACATAAGGGACATCTAAATGTGAACCGAAAATGATAAACCTATGGGTTTGTTGGTAGTCATTAGTGTTCTGCATTTTTCCCCCCACACAATAATCAGCGATGTTATAACCCGAGTGGGCAGGCAAGGCTGAAGCTGTCAAACATAGTAACACTCGCTTAATTTTCATTTCTTGTAGGAAACACTCATGCTTGCAAGACAGAAAACAAAAAGTGTTAACATGTTACACAAGTTACTGATTTAGGCTTTTACTGTAGGTTCTATAATGTTTTTTTACAAATAAGAAGCATCATTCATTATAATCTTACATGAGATAATTTAAAGTGTGAATATAGTCTGTTCAGACAAAATTAAGTAAAGATGTCTATAATCAGGGTTAGATGTTCAGAACAAATATTTTAAGAAGAAATGCCATGCTGCTTTACAAACTCAAGCCCATTAAACGCTACTGGATTCTGTTTCAGAAAACAAACGTCACGTGTATATTAGAAATCACTGACCACAACTACAGTTATTTAGTGCTTGACCATGAGGTGGACGAGGAGAACTGAGAGGTTGAAGCTTGTTCTATCGGTGCTTGAAAAGAGCAGGTAATTTATGTTCAATATGACACAGGACAATGCAGCTCTATCATCTGTTTTATAGTAAATAGCTACTAATCTAAAAATAAATAAATAAAAATTAAATAAACATATGGAGTGCCCCCTGTTTGTATGTTAGAGAGGCAAACATGCTCCTTATCTCAAGTGTATTGAAACAACACAGTCCAGCTGGGTCAACAGAACACACAAAAACCAGCTCATGCTTCAGCTACAAAAGATACGCCACTCATCCTAAAACATCACCCATTTCACACTCACAAATTTTCATGTTTTCAATCAGAGCAGCCAGAGGTCACCAAAATGGCATGTCATGACAGGATTTGTGGCACATTATATCATCAAACTAGCACATTACTCTCAGCATTCCTACACAACAAAAACAAGATGAACATTTCGAAATCTGAGGATTAATGTGTTTACATTTTTGTTTTTTGGACTTAAAAAGATTGGGATGGATTCCAAAATCCTCCAACGCTCACGCTAAGCTCTCAGCCTCTTGGTTTCCTGAATATTTTGATGTGTTTAAAATGAACTTGTTCTGGGAAACTTTACAAACCGATTGTGTCCATTCGCTCTCTGTTAACTTCTGTCAGTAGTACACTCTGTTTTTGGAATCATGTAGTTGTAAGAAACATTGGTGAAATAACAGAACACTCTCCAGAGGAAAACCTGTTGTTCAGCGGATGATCTTGTGTTGTTCAGCATTGTATTGACACATGAGACAAACTCTGACGTACAGCAAGAACTATAAACTGAATGAGGATGGCATAAGAATAATCTGATGAGAAATGCTTGAGCTCATACTGACTTTGGTCTTGGAAAATAAGGCCACTTGTTTGAGACTGTTGAGACGTATTTTGAAGCAGCGGCCACAGTTTACTCACTGCTGAAATAATTTATATATAAAGATCTAATTTGTGATTTTTTCTTCCCTATGAGTCAAGGTCATGGTAAGAACAAGACCGCAGTGAAGACAGAAAAAAAAAAAAACATTTGCACTTGCAAACATCAGTCTGCACCTATAAGTTCAAAAAGCATCAGGCTTCACTTGAGCCTAGAAGCTGCAAGACCGTTCATTAGCACTCGGTTTCACTTTCACCCCTTTGTTTGCATTCATCAGTCCTTCAGCGAATCACACACACCCGAGGCGCGAGGCGCGAGGAGCACGACCTTCCCTACGACCGCACCCCGGACTGCCTCCAAGAAAATGGCAGGTTGTTAATGTCATGAAGCTTTTGCAAGTCTATGTCGGCGAGTCATATCGGCCTGCGGTCACGTCTGACCTTTACTCCTCTCTCTGGGCAGACCCACTATACCATCTAACACCTCCTGTGGGCAATGCAGAGGCTTTTATGCATCTTTTGACTTTTGATGATGGAGACATGTGACCATGTACGTACGTGGACAGAATTGAAAGAGTCAGAAGCAATATAGGGCTATAAGTTGAAAGCATTAGAGCCTTTTTGCTTCGGCGCAGCTCCAGCGGGGTAATTCCGAGCAAGCCTTAATAATAAGTTCATATATAATTTAATAATGCAGTGGAGACCCAGTCCTGAGAGCTCTATGGGAGCATGGTAACTTTATTTCAAGAACATGAAAATATTTCAAAATCTACAAGATGGAAGGGGTACGTTTCAAAACTCTGCTTCAAACTTCAGAGAGTCGAGTCATTCATACTCAATGATTCACAAGGGAGCAAACCCGAGGGGGAAATATTAGGATGCTAGTTCCTCAAACAGAAGTAAAACTTCATCTCTAAACATGCTGATGCATGAATTTATTTTTCTCAGGTCCTGATATGACATCTGATTGTTAGAAAACCATAAATATGTGGTTTAAAATCCAAATGGAAAAGCTAATACAATTCTTTGTGTTGCATTTCAGTCTGAACTGTCAAATTACATGTAATAGTCTGACTTCTTATACATGACGTTGCATTCTATAGCTCTGTCTGAATTCACTCATTTACACTCGCACGCACCATTCAGTGAATAGTGAACCAGTGAGCGCATTGGAGACACTGCATTAGCTTGAATGTGTAAACAGTACAGTAACGTTCAGCACTTCAGTGTACTTTAGCATCTTAAAGGATATAAAGAGTTGCGAGAATGATAATTGTATAATATAAAAGCCTCTTCTAAGGAATCACATTGCTAATATCCTCCTGTAATGGAGATACACGGAGAACAGGAAAGAACATTATAACAGTGGCACTTGTTATTCTATTTGGAAATGAGCCTGAGATTTAATAAACATTAATGTCTTGTTTTATGATCTAACCTAGGAGAGTCAAAAACAGTTGATGCTATACTACTGGCACCAGGAGAAATTACTTTTCATTACAAAATTCCATAATTATCTAAAAGAAACGCAAACGATTGTTATCTCTCACTCTCGGCAGATGTGTGGAATTTAAGCTTTTACTGTTTTTTCGGAGAGGAAAGACTGGCCAACTCCTCTTCTCCCATTATGACGACGAGCTGATGCATTGCTTCAAGTGCCAAAACCAAATATTCCCCACAGGGAGCTGCATGACATCGAGGTTCATGGTGATTTGGACACTCGCTCCAGCTATTTATCCAGTGCAAAAGAATAATCCAGATGAATGCGTGCAAGATCCCAGCCAGGAAAATGTGAAAGGGTTCAGAGCAGTGATCTGTGTATTTGCACTTCCTCGGCCTAATAGTGACATTGTTTAAGCTCGCGGACAAACACAAATGCGCTCACTCAGAAACAGCATAAATTGCAATCATTGTTTTGTCCTAAAGACATCTTGACAGTACTAATGTATGCGTGCACTGTTGCTTAAGGCATTAATAATTACTGTGAGATGGGATTGCAAAGAATATAAGCGAGCGCACTTGCACACATGCACGTCAAACCTTGTATTCTCTGTCTGCAGTGAAGAAAAAATAAAAATCGATATATGTAACACATTGAAATATCGCTAGGCTATTTTGAGAACAATAGAAACAAAAACAGCTCCAAAATGCAGCTAAGAGTACAAATAACTCAAAAAATAATGCAGCCAGGTGCTGCTGTATCCAAATGCACTACCAGTTCTCGGTTATTGTTATGAATATCACCTCACTTGACCAGACCTCAGACACAAAACTTCATGCTGTGCTTCAAAACCATCACTAGGGGATGCTCTTGTATCTAAGGGAAAAAGAAAAAAAAATCCTACCAGATAACCAAAAGGGTGGAAAGAGTATAAAATCCAAAATGGAGAAATTCATGTTGGTGTTCACTTGTTTTGTGATTTTATAAATCCCAGCAAAAAAAAATAAAAAAATCAGGCCATATGCATTAGAAAATATGTTGTCATAGAAACCACATTAGCTCCTCCTGACCATTACTTGTGTTCATATGTGAATAACTGAGTATAAAAGGTAGTACATGCTCTGAAAAGTTTTGTTATACACCGTCTCTCATGAACACTACAGTATGCTTACTGCAACATTTAAAATCATACAAGCACCACTGATATGAGTGCACACCCACAGATGTGTGACAAACTGTTCATTCAACTAATTTGATTAAAGCGGATAGACTATAGCTCTTCAAATGAAACATAAATTACCTGGGAGAGAGAGCTGAGAGAGAAAAAAAGGAGTTAAAGGAGCTTGCATACTTTGTGTCCAACTGGACAGCATGATGACAGACTTACCATATTCACTTCTGAGACCATGTCTATGCTGGCTATGTCTATATTCATCCCCACTCCCACCGGAGGACCTAGAAACCAAACCAAATCATACCAGTGACGTTACAGCTAATTGATTTTGTTTGGCACACTGAAATGAATGGACATGTCATGCATGAGCCATTATTAACTCAACATCAGCCTGTTAACATCCAGGATGAGATGAAAAGTAAACCAAAGATATCTAAACAAACTATGATCATTCAGAATGATAAATTCACAATTTATGGATTCGTCGTGATGAGCATCACTGTTCACTGATATTACTATCACTGATTATGTAGTGCGAATCAGAGAAAGCATCACATGGAGCTATCAATGGACAGAACGTGCACATGTCCAAATTGTGTAAATTCATTCGTGAACTTTGCGAAGCATTTCTAATCAAACATCGGCTACGGAAGATTAAGCGATTATTTTAAGACAAGTGAAAGCAAGCGTCCCGATCGCCTCCAAAGCTGAGATAATTGGGATACATTAGCGCGAAACTCTCCATAATAGCGCGCTTATGTAGGCTATATGAAAGTTAAGAGGTGATGTTAAAAGGCTGACATGATGGACCTAATTAAAAACGTGCGTTACCTCCAAAATCTGGCCTCAAGCGAATGTCATATCCTTTCAATAGTCTATCAACAGTTTCTTTTACGAGAGACATGTTGCTTGGATCATTGACACTGCAAAGAGGGAAAATGCACCGTTAGATTAAGATGCATGCTTAGAGATCATTTTAGTTGTGTGTGTGGAGTACAGACAGCCATATGAAGTGAGGACAGCTTTGGTTCGGACTTACCTTTGCGCACACACCACGGCCACGATCACGGGAAACGTCCAGACGCGCACGAAGCTCTTTTGTCTTATTCTAAAGATCGCCATACTTTTATATGTTTTCTGGTTTCCGTGAAGACAGAGAAGATCCAACTTAAGAGAGCGCTGTGCAGTAATTCCACTGTGGTGCGCATGCGTACATACTCCAGCGCAGCATCCAGGAGCGCTGTGGTGCTGATGGTGCTGGAGGAGCACTTCCAGACCAGAAACAGGGAGATATTAAAGGGAAAACTACGAAAACACTAAAGTGAACAGTGAAACAACTGCAGCCTCTGGGCATCGTGGAAAAATCAGCACTTTCTTGTCAAGTGGGCTTTTAATAGCCACTTCATGAGCTGTTTCCGTGTATTCCTTTCATCTCCGTCTCGAAAATTGATGTGAGGCACAAAGTAATTTGTCTTACACAAAGTGGAGGGGTAGGCTTGTCTTAACCGTAAAAGCATTTAAAACGGACTTTATGGTTGAATTTTTTTTTGTCCATAAATTGGGGAGGTGTATATGATAAATGGGATGCTTCAAGGGATCGATATGGGAATCTAAACCTCTAGATTACAGCACTGAAACACAACAAGGGGAATCCGAGGCAAACCCCTGCATTAAAGTGAAGGAGTTGAAAGAAAAAATAAATTGGCTGTATATTGATTTGTATAGGCATAAGAGCTGGTGAAACGTATCTGCCATCGTCGAGAAAGAAAGAAAGAAAGAATAAATTAATTAATTAACAAATTATTACTGCAGTCATGAAGATGAGGTTTGTTTATCAACAACAAATGTTCCCAATAACAAAATAAAAGTATAATAGTGGGACATGTTCTCTCCTCCCTTTTAACAAAATAGTGTCATTTATTTTGCTATAAATTTTCATTATTATATATAATTTATTGTATGATTATATCACTGTTGAATAGGAAGGGAGTTAAGTAAATACAAACATTAAATGACATATGGATGAGGATGACAAATTACCAGAAAAGCCAAGTGATATTAAAAGGGTTACATTCAGAACAAAATCCATTAAGGGTTTTCAACTTTTACACTTTTTTTTCTCTTTTGAACTTTTGGTATTTAACCCTATAAAGCCAACTGTATCAAAACATTGCACACAATCTGCTACATGCTTTTTGCTCTCTGGTTTATAGTTCATGGTTATTTAGTAAGTAAAAGGCATTTCAGTATATTTCTAAAAATTGCCCCACATCAGGTTTTGATACATGTCTTTTTGTTTTGAAATATTTACTGAATTTAATAAGAGAACATAAGAATAACTTTAATATTGCTAGAATATTTCAAGATGAACACTTGCTGGACTGAAGCAACCAAATAATGTTAAAATGTGAGTATCATATGTAACCCTGGAGCACAAAAAAAGTCATAAGGTATATTTGTGGCAATAACCAACAATACATTGCATGGGTCAAAATGATCGATTCCCCTTCTAGGGAACTCCACGCTGCGCCCCTAGGGGTCACCTTGAGGAATGCAGCCTGCATTACCGGTGTTTGAAGCACGTGTGAAACAACACCAATCTATTGGTCCACATGGCCCATGACATCATAGGCGGGTGCCCTGGAGTATAAAAGGGCACCTGCTGAATACCTCATCCTCTTTGCTGTCTTCAGGAGCCGTCTGTTTGAAGTGCGTGTGAGAGACCAAGGTAGGTGAGCGCTGTGGAAAGTACCCTCTCTATACGGGTTGTCAGATGCTGCAGATACTATTGGGTTGTTATGACGATGAAGTGTGAGCACGGAATCGTTTCAGCCTGATCCTGCGAGATCGTGGGCGGAGTTATACTCAGCTCGGCCGTGCCTCTGTTATATGCATGTTATGGTGTGTGGAGAGCCTCACTGAGTCTGTGTCTCTTCAGTGGTATTGTGTCTCTTCAGTGGTATTGTGTCTCTTCAGTGGTATTGTGTCTCTTCAGTGGTATTGTGTCTCTTCAGTGGTATTGTGTCTCTTCAGTGGTATTGTGT